GAGTCTCTCTCTCTCTCTCTCTCTCTATATATATATATATATATATATATATATATATATATATATATATATATATATATATATATATATATATATACCAGACAAGACCCAAGGTGTAGGTTGTGCAAGGAGGCCTCTGAGACAGTCCAGCACATAGCAGGGTGCAAGATGCTGGCAGGGAAAGCGTACATGGAACGACATAACCAAGTGGCGGGCATAGTGTACAGGAACATCTGTGCCGAATATGGACTGGAAGCCCTAAGATCAAAGTGGGGAACACCCCCAAAGGTGGTGGAGAATGACTGAGCTAAGAACCTGTGGGACTTCCAGATCCAGACAGACAAGATGGTAATGGCGAACCAACCGGTGGTGGATAAAGAACAGAGGAAAGCCGTTGTGGTGGATGTAGCAATACCAAGTGACCACATCAGGAAAAAGGAGCATGAGAAACTGGAGAAATACCAGGGCCTAAGAGAGGAACTGGAAAAGACCTGGAAGGTGAAGACCACAGTGGTGCCTGTGGTCATCGGGGCCCTCGGGGCAGTCACCCCCAAACTGGAGCAGTGGCTCAAACAGATCCCAGGAACAACATCAGACATCTCAGTCCAGAAATGGGTAGTTCTAGGCACAGCCAAGATACTGCACAGAACCCTCAAGCTCCCAGGCCTCTGGTAGAGGACCCGAGCTCAGAGGATGAAAGAGACCACCCATGGAGGGTGAGAGGGGAATTTTATATATATATATATATATTTACTTATTAATTTTTTGTCATAGTACCACCAAGAATTTAAAGAATTTAAAACTACTTTCACCCCTGATTGTATGTTAATACAATAACAATGAAGTTTTATTTTATCATAAAGATGCTGTCATTAAAATGTTACTTAGTCCAACTTTTTTTTTTTTATTTATCCCAGTGTTTTTTCTCCATGTCACTCAACATTACCATTGATAATCATTTTCTTAAGGTGATATTTGGTTTGCATGACCATCTGATGATGTCCTGGATGAGAAAGTTGAGGGAAAAGACAGAAAGAACAAGCCTACAAACCAAGTTTTTAATTAATTTAGTTTGGTTTACTTCACAAAGTGAACAATCTGAATGCCACAATTTCCATTACCTGTACTTATCTTTTTCTCAAATGACTGATGTATCATAAAAAAATGTCAAGTGGCTCTAAGTGTATGTCAATCTATTCTTTACTTCAAAGAAATAAGAAATCCATGTTTATGTAAATGACAGTTCTGAAATTTGTCATGATTTATGGTGTGGTTTCGTGAGGTGAGGAACATAATGCAGGCAGACCCTGGTTGAAGTGATGAATGATTTAATAAAAGTCCAACAGAGGCAGCACAGGGAAACAGACTGACGACAAAACACGACGAGGATCCGACAAGAGACAAAGACAACAGGTGGACTTAAATACACGAGGAGGGTAATGAGGAAACTAGACACAGCTGGGATCAATCAACAGGGAGGACCGGACCGGACAGAGACTCACAGGGAAACAGGACTAAACACCGAAAATCTCAAAACTACACAGATCACAACAAAATTGAGATGAGTAATGGGATGTAAAGGTTGGAGGATCTAAACTAAATAAAGAGCATAGACGTATTTTGAAGTTCAAATCAGGTTATGTTTTGTCAGAGTCAAATCACATCACAGTTATAAGTTGTTATAAATGTTTAAAAAATAGCTAATACTTCAAAAATCATCTACTAAGTTGGAGATTTAGGGACCATTCTTCTAATAATATCAGTTTTTGTTCATTAAATGTTTTTTGGTGTTTTTTTCTGGTTGAAATAAAATGATGAAACACTTTGGAGCAAATATACACAGTATCAGTCCAAAACTGGAGGCCAGAATGGCAAATATCTCCACAGCCACAGTAAATTTTCCAGGAGAGCTGACATAAGCTGGGATGAAGGTGATCCAGACGGCACAGAATATCAACATGCTGAAGGTTATCATCTTGGCTTCATTGAAATTATCAGGTAGTTTCCGAGCTAGAACAGCTAACACAAAGCAAACACAGACAGCAGGCCGATGTAGCCGAGCACAGCCCAGAAACCAACAGCAGAGCCTAACGCACATTCCAGGATTATCTTCTCCTTGTAGGTGCTCAGATTTTTCACTGGGAAGGGAGGACTCACAACCAACCATATGATACATATTATAACTTGAATAAAGGTTAAAGACACTACGGTCATCCTTTGTTGAAGAGGACCAATCCATTTCATAGCATTACTACCAGGAAGTGTAGCTTTAAAGGCCATTAGAACCACTATAGTTTTGCCAAGAACACAGGAGATACAGAGAACAAATGTGATGCCAAACGCTGTGTGCCGCAGCATGCAGGACCACTCAGAGGGGGCTCCAATGAAAGTTAGTGAACATAAGAAACACAGAGTCAGAGAGAAGAGCAGCAGGAAGCTCAGCTCTGAGTTGTTGGCTCTGACAATCGGTGTTGTTCTGTGATGGAAGAAAATTAATGATGTAATTATGGCCAGAGATGCTCCACTGATGGAGAGTGTAGCCAGGATGATTGACAGGACTTCGTTAAAGGAAAGAAACTCCACAGGTTTGTGGAAACAAGCATCTCTGTTTGAATTTGGCCAGAACTCTCTGGGGCATGGGAAGCAGTCAGGAGAATCTAACAAAAATTATAACGTTGAAAAACAATCCTTAGTTTATGGATTTTGTAGATATGGATGCATATGAAACATATTAGATTCTACCTGTCATATTACTGATCTCTCCTTCAGGACATGGTATACAGTCATAGCAGCAGATTGGTTTTCCTTTCTGCAACACTTTGCGAGTTCCTGGAGGACAACTCTCTGAGCAAACGGAGACTGGAACCTGCCATGGAAAAAGACAGGAAAATTACAGTTTTTGAACTTTTTTTGAAAACATATTTCACAAATCCTTTTTCAACTTCCTAATCTAAGAAATTACTGTTTTTGGCTATTACTTGTCTGCCTCCTTCCACCCAGGTTAATTTCCTGTTGATACGAAACTCCTGACCTCTTGGCAGTGATGCATCATAATATCCCACTGTTACCAGTTCAATAACTCCACTCTCACTCTTCTGCCAGTTTACCAGCTCATAAAAAGCCACAGGGTCTCCATTAGCATCAAACGACACATGGTAACCATTCTTTGAGAAGTTCACTTTTTTTAGTTCTTTAAAAACCTGCAAAGTAAAATCAAAATGAAAAACTGGAACAATATTTTAAAATATTGTTGAAATTAAGTGTCTAGTCTGTAGTTGCTAATGAAAAACATGGGGATTTACCAGATGCACTGACTGACCTGTTTGGGCTCCAGTCTGATGTTTTTGTCACATTGAATAGTTCCATTAGTTTCCTGACAAACTGCATTGTGAATAGCATGAGCTACAGCATAAACAGCCTTGTACATCATGTTAGTAACTCTTAACTGTGATGTGTCAGTGTACGAGCTTTTAAGGGTTTTAATATCTTCAGTTCCATCACACACTCTCTTGTCTGGGTCAACAGCTGCAGAGACATACAGATACACACAAAAAAGAAAAAAATAACATGAATATTTTTTTTTTACTTTTTACTATGCTGAATTACGTAGGTGCTCCCTATGGGGTTTTTCACTTTAAGACAAGACAATGTTCATGCCAAAAACCAAATACCACAAAAAAAAAAAAAAATTCAGTTAATCTTTTTCTGGACTTCTTAGGGCAACATGCAACATGTTTAAAATACTTTTAACATTCTAACATTAAATACACAAATTATTCGTTGATTAAGACCAGATGAAGCAAACACCATGTGTTTTGGATTTCTCAAACAGAAAATATTACCTATGGTGAAATGTAAAAAAAAAAAAAAAAAGAAAAATAATGTAAAAATCTTGATTTAAAAACATAAATACATTGTTCTATTTTAATATGTGACAATCCTTTTCTGTCATTACAGAAAATTTGAAAACAAATAACGTATCAAAGATTATTTGTTTCTCACTTTCTGTCAAGCTGCAGTTGAACGCCTCCTCCCAGAATTCGGTAAGTACCGAAGAGGCAGCCACCTTTGATGGAGAGAGATCCAGCAGGAAGTCTCTCAGACCTGGGATGACAGATTTCTGAATGGCCATACCAACAGCCCCCGCACAGAAACCGAATCTCATCAGGTCTGAGTCAGTTATCCAGGCCTCGCTCGCGATCCACTGACGAGGTGGAGGAGGGTCCGACGCCAGCTCCTCTAAAAGGACTTTCATTTCACCAACAGCCGTAAATGCCAGAACAACCTTTGCTGTTGATCTGAAGAGACATGCAATGTGTTGATTACATGATTTAGTACTTGAACATAAGCAAATCATTTTGAAGATAAAGACAGTTATAACACCGCTGATCATCTGTAGTTTCAGTTTACGGTCTATCTGAAAAGACACTAGACAACAGTAAAACACAATTGTTCATGAATTCCAAGTGTGAAGGAACCGCTGAAGAATCACAGTGTTCATTCATAAGCCTTTTCTCCAATATTATCGTAAAATGGCAAAAATAACAAACTTACTAACCTACGGATAACATTGGCGACTTTTTGGATCTTGGTCGCTGGATCAGTTCTGAAGAAAGATTCAGTGTACTCCACACAGATCCCCTCTCTCAGTGCTGCTTCAAGAAAAGAGGCCATGCCATTATTTCCATAATCTGAGTCTGAGTGTACAACACCTATCCAAGTCCAACCAAAGTGTTTCACCAGCTTTGCTAGAGCGTCAGCTTGGTAATGGTCGCTTGGAATTGTCCTGAAAAAAGTTGGGAACTGCTGTTTGTCTGAAAGGCAGGCACACGTGGCAAAGCTGCTGATCTATAAAGACAAAACATAGAACACCAAAGCCAGGTGCATACCTGCACAGAGCTATTTAAAAAATTCCAGATTACAATCAATTTACACTTTTTACCAGAGGAATTTTGAAAGATCCCACGATGCGTGACATGATGATGGAGGGAGTGGATCCAGAGTCTCCGACGGCAGCCACCACCACACGAGACTGGGAGCAATTACCGTCTCTGTAGAACACTGGGTCCTCGCCGTTCAATAGCTGGAACGCCACATCCACTGAAACTGGCACCGAGACGCAGGAATCATAGATCCGATGTCCGAGTTTGATGCCGGGCAGCAGATCAGTGCTGTTATTTATCTCCTCAATGGCAAAGATAATAGTGCGAGAGAAACGCAGACCCCTGCCAGTAAGGCTGAACACAACATGCTGATGTTTAGATGAAATTGGAGAGGAAAAAAAAGAGCAAATTCTTCTTGGCATTAAGTAATTATAAGCAAGTCATCTGTACGTCAAAATATTGAAGTGCTTCCTGTCAAGGCATTATCAGGATTTCAAAACAACAACAAAAAATGCATCCAAAAAACAATCTAGATCAAAAGAAACATTTTTTTTTTAACTTCAGCTCCAACTTAATCATATTTTCACTGCAATAACAAAAATACACAATTTAGCTCATTGTGATAGAAAACGTTTAAGGCATTTTAATTATTTGTCTCCAACATAACAGCAAACTTTGCAGCAAACACATGCAAGATCATTTTTCCACCTCTCTTTCTTACTGACCTCCCTGCGCATCTCGGAGACTCGGGCTGGGTGGTGTAATTATAAACCACTGCATAATGTTGGTAATGAATGGAGGAAACACCTCCAATAACAAAGTCCCCATCTGTTGAGAATGCCGATAAATGAGGTTTACCCTGCAGAGTGCATTTCACAGATGAGGCCTCAGCAGCGACACCGGAAGTCTTTGACGTTTGTTCGGAAGGAAATTGTTGTTTTAAGCCATTTACAAGGCCAGGCAGCCTGACCAGTGACGTCAGCTCCAACAAACTCAGTGCCAATCTCAAAGCAATAAAAATGGCCCTGATCCCCATTTGTCAACTGTCTCTACTTGGATCTTTCTGTCCTTTTGCAGATCTATAAATCCCCTCCTCTTATACGTCAGATGATCTTTCTAGAAGAAAGTGTCCTCCCTTTGTGTTTGATTATGAAACATACACAAATATAATTTCCACTTTGTTTTTTTGCTAGTGCCAGTTCACTACTTAATGTCATAACAAATAAGGGAGAGAACATAGGTGATATTTTACATGATCTATAAATCAATAGTGAACAATAGAGGAAGGTCTGTTTATCTGAAATGTTTCTTCAAAAACAACTTATTAATAAATATATATTTTTAGTGTGCATAAACATGAGTCTTGGTTTACACACTGGCAGAGATTTTATATAAAATTAAAAGTAATTCCAATTTGAATTGAAAACGTTTTAGTCAAAATATAAGAGTATTGTACAAAACCATTAGACGAATGAGAATAAATTCATTGAATATTCTTTTATTGGATGAATGTAAGTAGGTTGAATGCGCTTTAATATCAGTCATGTCACATTTATAATATGTTTGTTCCAAAGAAAGATTTTTATTTTTTTATTTTTTACTTTTTATTCATTAAATATTTCTTAGTGTTTTTCTCTGGTTGAAACAAAATGATGAAACACTTTGGAGCAAATATACACAGTATCAGTCCAAAGCTGGAGGCCAGAATAGCAAATATCTCCACAGCCACAGTAAATTTTCCAGGAGAGCTGACATAAGCTGGGATGAAGGTGATCCAGACGGCACAGAATATCAACCTGCTGAAGGTTATCATCTTGGCTTCGTTGAAATTATCAGGTAGTTTCCGAGCTAGAACAGCTAACACAAAGCAAAACACAGCCAGCAGGCCGATGTAGCCAAGCACAGCCCAGAAACCAACAGCAGAGCCTAACGCACATTCCAGGATGATCTTCTCCTTGTAGGTGCTCAGATTTTTCACTGGGAAGGGAGGACTCACAACCAACCATATGATACATATTAGAACCTGAATAAATGTAAAAGACACTACAGTCATTCTTTGCTGTGGAGGACCAAACCATTTCATAGCATTACTACCAGGAAGTGTAGCTTTAAAGGCCATTAGATCCACTATAGTTTTCCCAAGAACACAGGAGATACAGAGAACAAATGTGATGCCAAACGCTGTGTGCCGCAGCATGCAGGACCACTCAGAGGGGGCTCCAATGAAAGTTAGTGAACATAAGAAACACAGAATAAGAGAAAAGAGAAGCAGGAAGCTCAGCTCAGAGTTGTTGGCTCTGACAATTGGAGTTGTTTTATGAATAAAGAAAATCACTGATGTAATGATGGCCAGGAATGCTCCACCAACAGAGAAAACAATCAGGATGATTGAAAGGCCTTCATCAAAGGAAAGAAACTCCACAGGTTTGGGAAAACAGGAATCGTTCCTTGTATTTGGCCAAAACTCTTCGGAACATGGAAAACAGTCAAGCGCATCTAAAATAACATGAAACATTTTGTTTTTATGACAAATTTTGAAGACATATTTATCCATAGAACAAAACTTGATTTTACCTGTTATATTGCTAACCTCTCCTGGAGGACATGGTATGCAATCATAGCAACAAGTGGGCTTTCCCTTTTGCAACACTTTACGAGTTCCTGGAGGACAACTCTCTGAGCAAACAGACACTGGAATCTGTCATAGAAACAGAGGTAAAATAGCAACTTTAATTTTTTTCAGTTGTTTTTGACAAAACTGTTGCCCTCCAAACTTCATAATCTAAGAAACTGTTGTGTTAGGGCTATTACTCGTGTGCCTCCTTCCACCCAGGTTATGTTCCTGTTGATACGAAACTCCTGCCCTCTTGGCAGTGAAGCATCATAATATCCCACTGTTACCAGTTCAATAACTCCACTCTCACTTTTCTGCCAGTTTACCAGCTCATAAAAAGCCACAGGGTCTCCATTAGCATCAAATGAAACATGGTAACCATTTCTTGAAAAGTTAACTTTCTTCAATGCATTCAAGACCTTTAAAATAAAAACAGACATTAACAAAGAAACCAGCAACCTCTAAAATTAACACCAGAACTAAGTAACCATGCATTGAGAAATCAATGCTAATGAAAGGTTTGATGAGTTACTTAGCAACAGACTGACCTGTTTGGGCTCCAGTTTGTAGCGTTTGTCACATTGAATGGTTCCATTTGTTTCCTGACACACTGCATTGTGAATAGCATGAGCTATTGCATAAACAGCCTTGTACACCATGTTAGAAACTCTTAACTGAGATGTTTCAGTGTACGGGCTTTTTAGAGTTTTAAGATCTTCAGTTCCATCACACATTCTCTTTTCTTTGTCAGCAGCTGAAGACAAATAAATACACTGCACATTTATTTTGTCTGTCAACCTAACTAATTAACTATTGTTGTGTTGAAGCATATTTAGATGTTTTTTTATATTGATGTCGATTAAATGAAAGAACAAATGACAAACGCAGAAATATATAATGATACAAATAAAGTTTGTGACTCTCCAAATTCCTAAAAATGCCTTCAAGATCAGTGAAATAAAGTATTATGAAATTAGAATTTTTTTTCTTGATTTCCCAGGGTTATATGAATAATTCAAGATTAATTTGATAAACATTTAATGTAATAAATTATTGGTACAAAACTACAACAAATATAATATTATGAAAACTTTGAAATTTAAATTTTGTATCAACAACATTATCATAAAAAATGGACAAACAATATAAGGTTAATCATAAAAAAAGAAAAGTCAGGCTTTTATTGCTTTTGGAACAAAAAGCACTATGCTGAAAAACATCTCAACTTTGGTAAGTTGCCAAATAAATCGATTTGTTTTACTACAGGTAAAACATTTTTGTTTTCAATCGCATGAAAAAATAGTTCTAGCAAATCTGTTAATCTTTTTTCCTTTCTCATGATAGAAAAGATATATACATTCTCACTTTCTGTCAGGCTGCAGCTGAAGGTATCCTCCCAGAACTCAGTCAGCACTGAGGAAGCTGCCACTTCAGAGGGAGAGAGATCCAGAAGATAGTTTCTCAATCCTGGAATGACAGATTTCTGAATGGCTACCCCGACTGCCCCCGCACAGAAACTGAATCTCATCAGGTTTGGGTCAGTTGCCCAGGCCTCGCTCGCGATCCACTGACGAGGTGGAGGAGGGTCCAACGCCAGCTCCTCTAAAAGGACTTTCATTTCGCCAACAGCCGTAAATGCCAGAACAACCTTTGCTGTTGATCTGAAAAGACATTGGAACATGTTGATTTTATGCAGCACTTCTACGAATAGGCCACATGTTTGGAAGAGTTTACAGTTATACAACTTATCTGAAAAGAGGTTTCAGTAAAACCATACCAAACTTGCCAAAGCAATCTCTTTAATTTATAGATTCTCTTTTTAAAATAGTAACATTAAACATACGAACCTACGGATAACGTCTGCAACTCTTTTGATCTTGATCTGTGGGTCAGTTCTGAAAAAGGATTCAGTGTACTCCACACAGATCCCCTCTCTGAGAGCAGCTTCCAGAAAAGAGGCCATGCCATTATTTCCATAGTCTGAGTCTGAGTGGACGGCTCCTATCCAAGTCCAACCAAAGTATTTCACCATCTTGGCCAGTGCATCAGCTTGATAATGGTCACTGGGAATGGTTCTGAAAAAAGTTGGGAACTGTTTCTTATCTGATAGGCAAGCACAAGTGGCGAAGTGGCTCACCTATAGCAAGAGAAGTGCAAAGTGTAGAAAAAAAAATCCAACGTCCATCAGCAGAGGTGTTTTTGGATTTCATCTTACTATGACTGTATTCCTCTTACCAGAGGAATGTTGAATGGTCCAATAACACGTGAGACGCTGATGGAGGGAGAGGATCCCGCGTCTCCGACAGCAGCCATCACCACACCGGACCGGGAGCAGTTCATGCCTTCGTAGAACAAGGGGTCCTCACCGTTTGTTAGTTCAAATGCCACGTGCACCGAAACAGGAACCGACACGCAGGAATCATAGATCCGATATCCAAGTTTGATGCCTGGCAGCAGATCAGTGCTGCTGTTTATCTCCTCGATGGCAAAGATCATTGTGCGGGAGAAGCGCAGATCCCGGGCGTTAAAGCTGAACAAAATCAATCTGGTGAGTGCTGATATTTATTACATTAGAAGAAAAGGCGTCACAAAATAAAAAACAACCAAATACATGCAGTAATACCAATAATTGTACACAGCACATCTAATATTTTTCGGAGACTGAATTTAGATATTCAATGTAAAAAGTGGCCCCAAACCTGTCCAAAACAAACAAACAAAACGTTATCCAAGTCAACTTTACACAAGCAATATAAAACTTTTGTTCTATCCGTCTTACCTCTCTCTGCATCCTTGAGACTCAGGCTTACTGGTGTAATTATGAATCACTCCATAACCTTGATAATGAATTGAGAAAACACCTCCAATGACAAAGTCCCCGTCTGATGAGAACGCAGAGGAACGAGGGGTTCCCTGCAGAGTGCATTTTGTAGACAAAGCCTCAGCAGTTACTGCAGAAGCAAACAAAGCAGCAAGTGAAAAACTCACTGCCACTCTCAAACCAGTGCTTTCCCAAATGCCCATTACTTAAGTGTCTCTGATTGGAAGCAACTGTGTGTTTATAAATGTCGTCCCTTGATACGTCAGATGATCTTTCTGAAACAGGATATGCCTAACTTTCAATTAACTGGTTTACAATTATTTATTTTGTATACAGAAATATAAATTTTCTTTGTGTAAAGGCAGAGACAACAGCCACACAAATCAGAACGATGGAAAAAGATGCTTGTTGTACCACACATGGTCAAGAAACTGAGTACAGAGAGATGGTGGAGTGTTTTGTGGCATGGTGATGGCATGGTGATGGCACAGTCGTCTTTTTATGGAAACAAAATAAAGAATTTGATTGTAGATTTCAAAAGAAAAAGGGTCAGCTTAAACACGGTTTGGTCAAATACTAGTTTTGTCATGGGAGAAGAAGGGAAAGTGGTTAAGGAGTGTAAAATAGCTTGGTGTTCAGCTGGACAACAGACTGAACTGGAGACACAACAGTGATACTGCATGCAGGAAGTGACCGAACAAACTGTACTGCTTTAGGAAATGTAGGTCCTTAAGTGTTTGCAGCAAAATGCAGTTTAAATTCAATAGAGTATGTGTGAAAACAAACCTCCCGACAACACATGAACAGCTCATCTTTGGTAGACCATGTTTATTCAGGCTCGCTGTAGGTAACACAGGAGACCTTTCCTGCACGTTGCCATGGCATTGGGCTCTACGCCCGCACAATGATCTATGAGGAGATCAATAACAGCACAGAGCTACTGCCCGGAATCAAACTTGGCTATCGAATCTTTGATTCGTGCGCTTCTGTGCCCATGGCCGTGCACGTGGCATTCCAACTGGCAAATGACCAGGACTGTGTTTTACAAAGGGAGCAACTGCTCACAATCTGGAGTTGTGATGGTGCAGTTGGAGACTCTGGATCCACACCATCGATTGGGATGTTGCGCATCGTTGGATCTTTTAACATTCCACTGGTAAATTGTTTGCAAAAATTTTTTTTTAATATACCTGTGCTTATCTGTATTGTATTAGAAAAAAAATTGCTATGTTGTCTTTTTTTTTAAATAGGTGAGCCACTTTGCCACGTGTGCCTGCCTTTCAGATAAGCAGGAGTACCCAACTTTTTTCAGAACCATTCCCAGTGATCATTACCAAGCTGATGCGCTGGCCAAGATGGTGAAACACTTTGGTTGGACTTGGATAGGAGCCGTCCATTCAGACTCAGATTACGGAATCAACGGCATGGCGTCTTTTCTTGATGCAGCACTTAGAGAGGGGATCTGCATGGAATACATTGAATCCTACTTTCCAACTGACCTGCGGAGCAAAATCCAAATAGTTGCTGATGTTATCCGTCAGTTTGTACATAAATAATTTTGCTTAAAAAAAATCCACTTCAGACGTACTTCATTATCCATTAATATTGTGCCTATTTGTTTGCCTCAAGAATGATCAGGAAAAACATGTGTAAAGTGTGATATGTGCTAGTTTACATCAACCTTGGCCATTGCCTTTCCTTTGCAATTCCGCTTTATTCTCATCCCTGTCTGGGCTTTCTTCCATTGAGCTTGATTGGTAAACTTTATTTGAAGGGGTGTGCTTAAGACTGGCATGACACTGTCATAAATACGATATGACACCTGTCATGAACATGAAGTCTTTATGAATGTTTATAACTGTTTTTGTGAAGAGTCATTCGATAAATAATGACATTTTTAATGCAAAGTTGCATACCATGCATACTGTATACCATGTCCTGAAGGAGAGATCAGTAATATGACAGGTTATATCATATATTTTTCACATAGATTTGCAACACCAAATACTGACTATTAACAACTGTTTTTGGCCATTGTTTTCAGATTCACCTGATTGTTTTCCATGTCCAAGAGAGTTCTGGCCTAATTCAAAGAAAGATGCTTGTCTACCCAAACCAGTTGAATTTCTTTCCGTTGATCAAGTCCTGTCTACCATTCTGGCTATAGTCTCAATCAGCGGAGCCTTTTTAGCCATTATTACAGCAGTGATTTTCTTCCATCACAGAACAACTCCAATTGTCAGAGCCAACAACTCTGAGCTGAGCTTCCTGCTGCTCTTCTCTCTGACTCTGTGTTTCTTATGTTCACTAACTTTCATTGGAGCCCCCTCTGAGTGGTCCTGCATGCTGCGGCACACAGCGTTTGGCATCACATTTGTTCTCTGTATCTCCTGTGTTC